GGTCTCCCCCCTGACAACATTTTAATGAATAGATCTACCGGTCCGAGAATCTCCATTGAGAGATATTAAAAACGGGAAAATTATGAATTCCTAAGGTTGAGACACAGATCTCGGCTAAGGCTAAGTCAGTCCGCTGGTCCGGTATTCTTCAATCTTACCCTGAAGGCCCTCGAGTAGGTATAATCACGTTTCCCTTCCAACAATTATTTTAAAAAAACAACAACCCCAAACCAAAGCTCATGTCTTAACTGAGAGTCGCCTTATATATCATGATAAAATTACACATGTACTGAAAAAAACCAAAGTTGGTGTCTTACCTCTGCGTCCGTGCGATCCTTGACGACGTTCTCGTTGGTGACCTTGAGGTACTTGGTCTGGTCCAGGTGGTCTCTGCGCTGGTAGAACGGCTCCCCAAGCACCAGCACCGCGAGCAGCGGTAGCGCAAGAACAGAGCCCACCAGCTGTCTCCGCCGCCAGCGCATCTTCCCCGGACACACCACCTAAACACAACTATTCCGAGGGCTACACACCACCTAAACACACACACATACACCCCTAAACACACACAGCACTAAACACACACACACACACCACTAAACACACACACACCACTCCACACAACTGTCCCCAGTGCTAGCGCAGTACCAATCCAAGCAAGACAGGGCCGCCTCTACCATGCGGCATTGTGTTCAGGAACATAATATGCCAGCCCCATCCGGGCATTCGGACACTAGCCACTTTCTCGGACGCTGCCCGCCTGTTCTTCTGTTCCCTGGCTCAATCACCAAAAATCCGGACTCAGGGCAGTTTCCAACTGACCTGCCTCTTGTGTCCTCGCACTCAATCACACAATCCGGGCACTGAATTAAAAAAAAAGCGGAGAAAGTTATCTTGTGTTCCTTTCAGCTGAGTGATGTAATCCGTGGAAGATAGAAAGGAAGTGATTGCTAAGCCCCTTCGCTGTACAGCGCGTGAGGAGAATCAGGAATTGACGACAGTCGTGTGAAGCCCCGCGGGGTCAGTCGTGCTAGGCCGCGTTTCCAGCTGACATCCCAGAAGGTGAGAGACTGAGGGAGAGGCAGACACCTCCTCGCTTGCCCTTCCTCCACTCCGCGGTGGGTCCTTCTCACTCTGGGCCACTCTCCTCCTCCTTCTCCTCTTCCTCCTCCTCCTTCTTCTTCTTCTTCTCCTCCTCCTGTTTGAGTATCCGTTAGGTGCTGCCTCCTCCCGAGAGAGAAGACAGAGAGGTTCTCCGACTCCCAGCTAGCAGACGTCACTCGATGACTTGAGAAGCGAGCCGCAGACAAAGCGCACAATGGACGATTACCGTCTTCTGCTTCTATTTATTATCTCGGGTAGGGCATAAATTTCCCCGAAATAATCTCCGGGATTTTGGTGCAGGGGAGATAATAGAGGAGTGGACGCGTTGGCCGTCACAACAAATAAATGTGTTCCTTCTTGCCGTCCTCCTTACTGGCTTGTCCGCTCGCCGGCGCGTGAGATGACACACAGGTTACTCCCCCGTACAACTCCGGCTGGTGGGAGACAGATTTATATATATATGTATGTATATGTATATTTATTTATCTAGGTGTTTGTGTACGCGTGTGTGCGCGTATGTGTGTCTGTGGTGTGGAGTATAAATGTGCTCTTGCTCCCGACTGTAGCAGCGACCGCCGATGGTAGTATATACAGGGCCGGTCACTTCATGCACTGACGTCACGAGTGTTGAGCGGGCGGTGTGGTGTGGGACATGCTCCTGGACTCAACTCCCTCTTCCTGCGGGGGGGGAGAAACAGAGAACTATTACTTACGGGGATACACACGGCTGCTGGTGACAGGATGTGGGAGGGAGGGGAGAG